AAACAACTGCTTTCAAAAAGTTCAAAACTGTTTGTTAGAGTCTTTAAAGACTGAAGTTTCATACTTTCAATTTGTTGTACAAACATCTCTGAGTTATTTGAAGCTATTTCAGTCACAGAAATTCATGAGTCCGGAAAATGCGACTTTTCCGACCCCCAAGTAAAGAAGTTTGAAGCCTTGAAACTTGCAGTATGATTTAACAGTGAGGGGAATATATTAAGCCATGAGGAGTTTATTTGAGATGGCGGAAAAGACGGATTTTCCGGATTTCACGGAAACGTGAATATTTTATTATTCACGTTTGTTTAAAAACAACTATTATTATATTACTTCCCTTTATTCCTGTAAGTATCTTATTTTAATATTATTATTATTATTAAGATACTTACAGAAATAACAGGAGTAATATAATAATGGTGTTTAATATTCACATTTCCGTGAAATCCGGAAAATCCATCTTTTCCGCCATCTCAAATGAACTCCTCCTGGCTTTATATATTCCCCTTGCTGTTAAATCATACTGCAAGTTCCCAGGCTTCAAACTTCTTTACTTGGGGGTCGGAAAAGTCGGATTTTATGGATTTGATGGAAATATAAGTAACCAAAATCCGTCATTATATTACTGCTCTGTTTTCTGTAAGTATCTTTAGAAATTATACGGTAGAAGTTCCGGTTAGGTTTTGTTCTGTTTGGTTTGCAAGTGTAACCCCAATAACTTGTAGTTGTTTCGCCCTTATCATCAGTTGCCAATTTTGCATCAAAGTTTGAAAGAGAGCACGCCAGTAGGTCGCAAATCTGATCGGTAAATGGTCTGAAGGAGTGATACTTGAACCAAAGAGAAAAAGGAACGAAACATTTTGGGAAACGAACTTCCTCCTTCCCTCTTGCCTCTTTCCTCTTCCCTCCTCCCTCTTTTCTCTTTCCTCTTTCCTCTTCTCTCATTCCTACGGTTTCTCAATTTTCCTTTTCTATTCTTTGTTCAGTTCTAATTTTCGTATGTATTGTTTACTCCTTTATCTCTGGTTTTTTCTTTCTTTTTGATTTTTTTCTTTCTTTAATTGTTTATTTGCGGTTTCCCTTTATGGAATTCCTGTCTTTCTTATTATTTCTTTGTCCTCATCTTTCTGCAACAGATTTGTTATATTTTTTCTTTATCTTTTCAGATCTTTTTTAGTATTTTTCGTTTGTTTATTTCTTCATTTCTCTTCTCATCAAATTTTTGTTTGTTTCATTGGAGACTATTATAATGCTTTTTACAATTTCGTGTTTGTATGTTTCTTCAGATACTGTTCTGTCTTTTTCTCTGCATATTTTCCTGTCATATCATTATAGTTTTTATTTCTTTTTTTATGTCTATGTTCTTTCATTTCTCTTCCTTTTCTATTATTACTTTAACCTTCAAATTTTTGTTGTTGTTGTTTCTTTTGCTCACTATCCTTATATTAGTCCCTCGTTTTTAATCACCTTTACGTTTAATTTTTCATTCAATCCCATTTTTCGCATGTGTCTTGTTTCAATAGGTCCTTGCCCCGTTCTATGTGTTTTTTTAATTGTCCGTTGTTATTTGTTTTGTTCCTTTTGTTTTCCACTTTTTTTGTCTTCGTTCATCTTTTCTTTTTCCCACTTTTTCCCTCTTTTCCTTCTATTTAATTTCTTCCTTATTTCTTTCGATCTCTGTCACTCTAATTATCCCCCA